TATTTTCGGTGCAATGGTTCGATATCATGAAAACGTAGACATCATATTTCTAGATCATCTCTGTATCTAATGTTACACATTATTACACACGCATTGTTAATATGACAAGTACATGGGATTAAAAAATCGAGTTTTTTGCATACTTTCTTGTCTTGTTGTGAAACTCATCTAATTTATTTAGCACACCATTCATTTCTAATAAAGTGAATCAGATTTCTTCATATAACTGTACTGTAAACAGAGTACTCGTGTTTATCGTCTCACTGATATTCGACCAGAACTTTAAACATCAACACACTACCCAATAATCCACTTAGATGAGTTAGTTGATAACTTCCACAAAGAACATGGAATGAAAAATGATGATAATAATATCAAGATATCTGTTCTCATGGCACGTTTTGCAACACACTTCTGCCTTCTGTGACATAAATAGGAAGATATACGAGTCAACAATATAATTTACGTTGAAGACACACCAGACGTTGGTTCTCCTACTTCACTATGATCAGTGCGAACTAACCCAATATGACTACTTCATTCGCTCACAAACATCAAAGCACACTAAACAACAACTGGTAGGTTGTAACGAATAGACTGATTTTTCATACCATATGAAACGGATTCATGGCAGTCTAATGGTATTAGATTTATCCAAAAATTGAAACAGATTGTTGTTTCCTATTGCAGTATACATTGACAGATCACTAAATAAAGCACTGAATGTCTTGAATATTTTCATTAATGTTAGAATGTCCGAGACGATTGACTGACAATTTGCAACTGTGAAATTTACTGTATTGTTCTGAGACTTTGCTAAGAGACTTTGTAATTTTGTGATCAAATGCATTTAGTTTTCCCCACCGGTGTTCTCGTTGATCACATTATTACTAACACTTTAAAAATGAGCGCATACCATTTCCATATCATCTTACATTGATTTTGAACTAAGAATTTAGGTTGAGAATTCTTTTCAGTGCCATCTTTTTTCTTGAGTATCTACCTATTGATATCTCTTGAACGGAAAATGGATGAAGACAATTATTTACTAACAGTTGATTGTTTGTCATCTTTCCGTTAATTTCTTCGGATTCACACCTTCTGTGAGGTTCTTTTCTGGACTAGCCATTTACTGGTCGGAACAATCGTTCCACAAGTTCCCACTTTGCCGAGCACGTCGGTTGAAGGGTGGTAAGACAAAAAGCAGCAAACCCAAGGTCCGAAGTCGAAGTTGTACTGCCTACTGTACAGAGGTGTGACGGCAGTTACACGCATACAGAATCCTAGTGTGATCATTTATATGATATCACCTCGCCAAAATGGACAGCCGACAAATTAAACCCTTCGTGTATCTGGCGACTCGATGGCTACTTTTCGTGGACTTGCAGGTGTAGGCATAGAACTAAATACAAGATCAAAACAAGCTTCATAAGAATAGATTACCGTTAACATTCACCTATGTGGTGGGCAACGAAAGCAAAAAAATGGAAAAGGCAGTGGCTGTAGGAAACACCAGACAACTCTTCAGACTGATAAAAGAAACCGGAATTAAGAAGTCAAGTGTAGGCAAAACAATCTCGGAAAAAGACGAGACTACTATCTGCTCTCAGCCCAGACGTTTAGAACGATGTGCGGAACACTACAGAGAACAGTTTGGATGGCCTTCAGCTACTCTAAAGTTACGCACCATTCCTAGACAGTCTGAATGAAACTCTAGCTGAAGTACAAAAGGCTATAATCGATCTGAAACGAGGAAGGGCAGCTGGTCCAGATGGATTGGCTCCAGAGGCCTTTCAGTATAGTGGTCCAATTTTAGTGATTACGTTGACTAATAATTTAGCTGAAATCTGAGAGTTGCACATAATCCCATCTGACTGATCGCAGTTTTTGATTGCTCAATTATATATAAGAAAGGATCGAAGCAATCCTGTGATAACCATAAAGAGATTAGTTTGACTGAAATAGCATCTAAAATACTAGCCTCAACAATTATTGAGCGCCTAATTAAGACTCGTGAACTTCAAGCACGAGAAAATGAGGCTGGCTTCAGAACGAGTCGTGGTCCATTAAATTCAAACGAATAGTGTGACATTAGAAAAACAGAAATGGCGATTTGGATGTATAGTAATCGTCTCATCTGGAGCCAAAAATAAACAAAATACACAACATCAACGTCGTTTATGTGGTTGAAGAAATTTTACCAGAGGCACACATATATACTACAATATAGAAAAGTGTTTTACGACTATCACTGTAGTAATTTATTGTAGAATAACGAATGAATAACACCTACCATTGAAAATAACCTCTCATATTCCATTATAAGCATAATATTTTCATTCTCATTTGTTTACTAAAGTTTTATCACACATTTTTAATGAACCATTGAGAACACCTTGATGAAGTAGTGTACGTATTATGACGTCATACAAAGTGCGTAATTGGACTCGAGTCAGTGTGCCATTGATGAAAATCAAATCTTAAGTGATGTTAGTTGAATTAGTAATAATTTGATGTACATAGTGTTCAATTTGAAAATAGAATTTAACATGAGATAACATCGATGAAATAATAGACTAAGGATATTTATGAAGGTGGATGAGATTATCACATTTATCATTTTATATTTACGTCAGCAAAGGTTATCACCACACATGCTAGATGTGATTACATAATCTATTCAAATGACAAACACTGGGTACACTATCCCGCTTCACTGAAACATAATTAACCAAATTAAATTTACAAGAATCCGACAGTTATACTAACACAAAATAGGTAAACCGCTCTATGAACAGTTTAAATGAGGGAAACAAAAATATTTTACATGTTTCAGTGTTTCAATTTAAATATAAGTTATTAAGTTAGTAAGTTATATATTATTGAAATACCTCATCACCAGTGTCGAGAAATTTTCAGCAGCCAAACAGATTTCCTTTATAGATTACCAAAAAAAAACAACACATTCGGGTTGCATGAAATCGGAATAAAGCCAATTCAAATCGGGTTATTAAAACATAAAAACTACAGCCTATCTGCAAACAATGATTCGAATACCAATCGCTGTATCGATTCCGTGTAAACATTCGTCGCATTCACACAAAAATGTCCCTATTAGACAGCGCTTGCAATTATTAGTATTTTCATTTCTTCATATTTTGCGAAATTATTCTTGAACTGATCCTTTTACATACATTTTATTTGTAAAGAAATACTCACTGACTGGACTTGAATAATATCAGGTTGAATAGTGGTTATTTCGCAACTACAATTCACAGACTTGCTTCTTTAGTTTTCCAGCTAATATTTATTTTGGAGTTCCTTCAGTGTAGTTTGTAAAGGTTATCCTGAATTACTGGTACTTTATTGTTAATCAGTAAAAGATTTGATGTTTTGTTGAATGCTACACTTCAATCATTTAGAATTCCAACAATGTCTTCAGTCAAATAACACTGTAAGTGCGCAAATTATTGCTAAACATTTTGTGTCATCAACAACATTGATAGATTTTAGTCGTAAATACTACACATTGACCATGGTTGCTTAGTGTTCCGCTTTTGCGGCTTCATGCGGTATCTAGTGTAATGATACTATTTTTGTCCAAATTAAATGATGATACTCACTGTTTTTCAACTGACCAACTTCTTTCATTCCATAACTTTTTGTTAATCGATTCACTCAAGGTTTGTATTCTCCATCTGATTAGCTTCATTCTATCTAATAAACAAAACTAATACCTAAAAATTAATTTCCGTCTGTTGAAAAGATGTTCTAAATATTCAGTTTATAAATTTTATGCATACATTGTCATCCTTTTCATACTTATTCTGACTGTCTTCCGAGAATAATCTGGTGGGTACATTGATGTAACAAAATAGACGATCTCAGCTTCCGAATATCTTGAACTATAGTATGTCAGGGAGTGAACAATTTTCACTTTGCCTTCCATTTTCATATCATTTAGTCAAAATAAAGTGAATTCAAATATCTTGACAAAATTTGGAGCATGATCAATCTTAGGAATGTTCAGTAATTTGATTTAACTTTCTAGGTTAATAAAATAAACGAAAATTCGTTGATATGTAGTGACTTTCATGATGTTGGACGGAAGTGAATAGATAATCTTCTTTATTTGTTTGATTGTCATCTGATTCATGAATATTGTCTTCAATTTACACATAATTTTACAAATATGATGTACTAGATGTTTCTGTAACAGCTGAGGCTGAGATCAGATGTTCCTGTAAACCTGTCATTAACATTTGAGTCTATTTCTAAATTACATGAAGGTAATCAAGTAAACGAACTGCTCTTTAAGATGTCTGTTCAAAACAGTCCTAGTATTATTCATTCATTTATCAGTCGTGTTCCAATAAACAAAAAATGGTATAGAACGTTTAACAAAGCAGTTGGTACATGAATTAAACGTTTAGCAGACTTAAACTTCATTTGAATGTTAAATAACGGTTATTCATAAGTTTTTCCATAATTTACATTCACGTGCATAAACACTGTATCATTAGTACTCTTTCTTCAAAATATCAAATGAATTTCTGACAGATTAGACTAACTATGACCTCAAAAACTGTTTACTATCATTTATTCTAGTAGCTCACTGAGGACTTAGTTCACAGCTCCAATCAGCTTCATTTTGCCTATAAGGCTAACAAAACTTCTCCCTCAAGAAATACTAGTTTCAAATGTTATCAGGTAACGATCCATCGTACAATTTTATTTGCCAGAATATTCTTATCATCAAAGTCATGAAATGATGCGGAAATCCGTAAGCTTAAATGAATAGCGAATGTTAACTTGATTTTCCTAATATTATGTTTCGGTTGATCACAGAAAAGAAGTCTGTTATTGTTGCAAGATATTTACTTTAAAAACAATAGAAGTGATTTAATGCAACATGATTTTGGTTATCGTTTTTGTAAAGATTAGGTCAAATAAAAAATAGGTATTCCGCATTATCCACGTTCTCGTTTGCGAACTTTTGATCAACGCCTTCCATATTTCTAAATAAAACAAAAAAAATAAATGATTTAAAATTTCTATAAAGGATATGTAGATTTCACTAAAATTGAACGGAAACTACTGTGAGGAAGAAGCAATCATCTATTCGAGTAAAGGAACGACCAAACACATGGTGGTGTTTTCAAATATTATCATAGACGTTTATCGATTAATGCTAGTTTATCATTTGATATATTTCTAAGATTTCGGCCATTGGAATAAGCGAGTTTTGGGGACATGCTTAGGGAGAATTATACAATGTGTTCTTTTCCAATGTTAAAACCAGTGGTTAATGTTTCAATATTCAACCATGATTAAAAGTCATTGTATTTGCTCAAACTAAACCTGAGATCATTTTGTTAGTTTGTAGAAGTGAAAACATGAATAGGTTCAATAATCATTAAAATTCCAACAACTTACTTCGATCTAGTGATAAATAGAATGTTGTAAAAAACCTTTATGAGATGCTTTCCATGAAAGTGTAGAAACTGTTTAACAAAATGAATTTACCTATTAAAGTTAATAAAGCACATTTCGTATCGATTAAGTATCTTTGAAATTTGTAAAGTATTCAATCGCATATCAGGTTTGCGTAGATTTTTACAGCATCGATAATGTCCTCAGAGGAGCCGATGTACTTATTTGGTGACAGAATACAACAAATACCGGTGGGAGAATAAACTTAAGTAACAGCTTGTTTTCCATGCACGTATTCATATATCATTGTAAAGGTGTCTGTGAGAAACTTATCAAAATGTCAAAACAAATTGAATTTCAGCTTACCAGGGTCTTATTGACTTTCTGTAATAGAAATAGTTAGTTATATATATTACAAATGTAGACATTGATAAGAAGAATTTAGAAAATACAAATTCTGTTATAGTGAATTCAGAGGAACTTTAGAATCTCTTGAGTTGATGAATTTTACCAAATCTGGAGCACTAATAAATCTGTACTTTTGAATATTACATTTTGTTTGAGGCACTAATTATAAGGTTGCTCTGCTCTTTACTTTATTGACAACGTTGATAAGAAATTGACGACTCCCAGTTTACTGTTTGCCTGTATTTGAATTATTATTTATCCTTTTAGTAATCATTAATGACTCTTTACAATTGAAACATACTAGAAATTTTGTTTTCAACCATCAACAATAAGTATCTGCCAATATTTTGTAAAAATTCGCTGAAAATATGATACTCCTGAATAGAGGATTCACCAGCCTAATCAGAAGTTAAATGTGTACATGTTAGACGAGAAAGTGAATTTATTTTCAACCAGTCTAAATGTTGTATAGAATACTGAAGAGAAATTATGTGATCAGCAAAGATGAAGTGTACCAGAAACGTGGTCATCGAAGGTGTTACTTTTGAGTTTGTAGTAAATAACACAGAATATTACAGAAATAGCATTTTTCAACATGAGAAGTTATTTATCATGACAAATGTATATGAAATGTCGTTCAAAATAATGTAAAACAGGTTTAATTGTATGAAATGATGGGGTACGTACATCTTTCAATTTATTTTCTCCTTCTCTATACTGAACAGAAAATGAAATATATAAAATGGAAACATTAAATTGATATGAGAACATTCGTCTAAATTAAAGCGAATAGTTTCACAGTATTTGGGCTCTGAGTTAATATAAGGCATTAAAGAGGAAATGATATTTCTTTTTAAAATCCCAACGAATGAACTTCAAATAAATAAAACGTTTCATTCAGTAGTCTGATTTAGGTTTTTCAATGGAAATATTCAAGTGTCATAACAATCGGATATAATGAATACAAGGTTTACACATTGTGTTTTTTTAACATCTGAATATGTCTGGATGGTTTGTCTAGTACATGGATAATAGATACTATTGTTCCCTAAGCATTTCCCTTTCAAAAGCCTAAGTCAGTGAAATGTTTAGTTCATTGTAAGTTGAATCATTGATAATTTCACAAATATAATTTCCTCCATAATAAGTTACTTGTTTTCCACACTAAGTCTGAATAAAATCTCCAAATAACCATTTTATATTCAGTGTCAATTCAAGTTACCGGAATCTCGTGAAACAACATGTCGATTGATTGACATCTATCCTTTCAAAAAGTTGCTTAATTATAAAAGGGTTAAAATACATTCTGAAATGTACTAAGAAGGGAATGAGTAAAATGAATGTTTTTCAATGGTAACAAAATATTGGGTTCCAGTATTTATTCAGTTATAAATTGGAGTGTTGTTTTCTGGACAAAAGCATCACATTATTTAAATTAACATAATGAAATTCTACTATACAAACGTACCAATCTCTCAGCCAGTTGTCCCCTAAAATAGGTAAAATACGCTATTGGTAATAAAATCACAGACATAAAAACCATTCACAGTAAGAATGTATTAACTCATGAAGTGAATAAAACGCCCAAAATAAATCAAACCATCATTGTCCAACGCGATTATTCAAGCTTATTTTGGTAATTTTGTGATTTACACAAACTTTTCGGTTAATAAAACAATAACAACCTAATCACTTATTGAGTGACATATTTTGAAGCGTTTTTAATATTAACATATTTTGATATGCAAGTCTCATCATCAAATGTGATATTGGTAATTGAGTTTGATCAGTCCACATTTACATATGAAATCTTTGTATATGCGTTGCAGAAATCGACATGGTTGCAAGTTAATAATGTTTGAGAGGGTATTTATTTGTCAAATTACTGACTCTTTTACCCTTGTATATGAATATAAAAGTCATTGTATATGGAACACTATTAGAAATATAAAATTACTCACGTGGCTCCCACAGACAATTGTCTAGCAAAATAATATTTATATTTGTTAATGATGAAATTAATTATGAGTTTATCATTTTAGCAGATTCAAAAATTCGACTGAAAAACAAGATACTGAATTCTTCAGTGATGGAAGATTGCAAATATTGGTGTAGTTCGAAAACTCATATTTGGTCTGAAGTGGATAACTGAAGGAAATTTTGCGACGAATCCACATCTCATAATGAGTCATTTTGAAACAACTGTAAAACATTCGAGTGTATATATATACCCTCCAATTTCTAGAACTCATTTACGCATTTCTATATGGGAGTTGGTCACAAACTAAGCACTTATAAGTCATCTCAATATTGTCTACTTATGAAGGGCACTGATGTTGTCTTGATTCCAGAAACAATTCCATCACAAAATCCTGAACTTTCAGTCACACCTGGACATTTATAGAGAAATAATAAGAAGCCTGAGACAAAATGCAGTAACAGTTCACACAATTGAAAAATCGTTTTCAAAATAACTTCCAAGTCAGACATTCAGTAGAACTTCACACAATGAACTCATACTAAACCAAAACATAATCCAACTACCTTACAATAAATAACATTTTGTGTGACATTCAAATACATATATATATCTATATTCGTGTTGCTGGATGAAAGGCAGATCGAATTAGATGCAGTCTATTCCTAATTTGGTGGTATCGAAAGTATTTATGCGCAATGGATATTTTGAGATGTAATTCATACATACTTTATCACGCACACGATGTGTGAATCTGTTAGCTTACTAATGTAGTTTAAAATACCTAAATAAACCATTTTACAGATGTTCAACAGAGGATAGTGTTTTCTTATCTGTTAAGTGTAACCCGTTGTTATCTTCACAATGTTTATAGTTTAGAACTTTCTCTGTACGTAAACATTTACTTTCAATCTGTGATGAGATTATGTGACTGAATAATTATTGTTTCATGTGAAATGATTTTCAGCAATATACTAAAGCTTATCAGTAGAGTTAAAAGATGACTTTTCAAAGAACTAATCGTTTAAAATAATTCTACATCTCAACAATTGACTTACGATCCTCTAGAAATTCAACAATAATAAAAAGAAAAACGATTTTGTTAGAGATTTAATGTCAAGCAACGTGTTTGCGAAACTATTTCACAACTAAACCATTTGGATGATAAGAAAGAAGAGAAAGAATAATGAAGCTTATGAGTAGAGGTAAAACAATTGCCTATTGCAATGATTCACTTACCCTTTTCTGCAAACGCAACAATAATCAAAATAAAAATTCTTGGTTATCAACGTGTTTGTGAAAATATTTCACAACTAAACCATTTGGATGATAAGAAAAAAGAGAAAGATTAATGAAGCTTATGAGTAGAGGTAAAACAATTGTCTATTGCAATGATTCACTTACCCTCCTCTGCAAACGCAACAATAATCAAAATAGAAATTCTTGGTTATCAACGTGTTTGTGAAAATATTTCACAACTAAACCATTCAAATGATATGAAAGAAGTTAGAGATTAAGAAAGCGTATGAAGAGAGTTAAAGAATTACATGGCAATGAACTAGCCTTCTTGAATAGTTCTGCATATTCATGAAATCTTATACCTTAAATTACGCAATTGATTACAGATTACATGCAGTTACATACAACATATCATCCACTAGTAAATTCGAGCTTAAGCTAATATTCAAATAATTGGTAGGTATTTCGGAGTTCAACTGAGATGGACTTACCCATGAACCTCTAAAAGTAATTTGTAGAAGAATACTTGTAGGTTATGGTGATTTTTAACTTCTTATTCTATGGTTATTAATGTTTTATTAATACAAATACATTATATTCTAATATTTGCATATTTACAGACATTTTTCACTTTTTCTGTTCACTACAGATATGCAAATATTTATTTTGTTCGATTGTAGTTGTGTATACTCTTGTAAAAAAAATAATGTATTCACAAGAATTTACATATGCTGTGGATAGTTGTCTAAGAAATCCTGGAATAGTGGACTGTTCTATCGCTGAACTGTTTCGATTGTAGTTGTGTATTCCCATGAAGGGAAAGTAATGTATCCTGAAATAATGGACAGTACTGTGACTGAACTGTTTTTCCGATCAAGGCAACTTCAAAGTTATCAAGATGGACCTGTTTATATTTTGTGATAATAAAATGTTTAAAGCTAATTCCAAATGAATCAATATTCACTTCATAATTTCTTTTTCTATAAAATATTACTAGTAATCTAGTGGGTTTGCTTGGTTAACGTAGACAACTAGTTTCTATTACTTTGAGACTTACCCACATATGAATTTTGAAAAACTGACACAAGGACCAACATCAATGCAATGAATAGAAACATTTTGCCAAAATTAAAGTAGTTACAAAAATGTGTGTTTATATACTGTTTTAGAGGTCATGTGTGTTTAATTAAATGACGTATACTGTGAATATTGTCACTAACTAAATTTTTCATTTTAGCGAGTTTTTCATAATTTAACCACGCTCAAATCTTTGATTGATGGATCGGTGTAAATGCGACAAACACAGACATAAACTTACATTTAAATAATTAATAATTTTTGAGTAGAATTAAAATTACATGTGATTAGAATAATGAATAATTTTATTTCTTTTTCGAACTAGTTTCTCTTAATTATCTAGTGTTCCTTCTTACAGAAATGTGACGCTGTGACTCATAGATCTTAAAAATTAATGTTGTTTTAACGAAGAAAATATTTGAAGCCAAAAGAATATCGGATCATTGGTGACTTGATAAAAATAGCGTCTCATCGATAATAATAGCACACAGACTGTTTTAATAATTCCATTTACAGAAAAGGAAAATTCAAGCTTGTAGTTTAAACGTTAGATATTAATGATGTTGATTATGTTTTAAAGCTCTAAATTGTACAATGGATTTTCCACAGACCATGTTTATCTTCAAGCATTCATGGACTGGAATCATATAAATAAAATAAATAGGAATTCTTCAGTTTTGCTGATCAATGTAATGAAAAATAGGAAATAGTTGAAATGATTGCTCAGAAAATAACAATTTGTAAGATAATATTCCTTTCAGAGTTTTTTCTGGAACGAATGCTGCATACTAATTTGTAAGTAAAATTTCGAATTACAAAAATAATTCATTTTTGTATTGGTTCTTCTAATCTTTCCATTGATGTTCGGACTCTAATAGACATATGTGTATCCTACGAGGATCGCCTCGATACTGCCTAAAACCACAGGCAGATAAATCCAGATTACGAGTCTCAAATAGAACGAAATGTGTGTCCTGGTGTTCACTGCTAGCCAAGATCTCTCTCTAACGAGATAGTGCTTTTAAGTTAGTTCTTTCGAATGAATGTAGACTTTCCTTATTTTGGTCATCATTGGTTTTCTTTTGACAACTAAATGCGTATGTTCTGTTGATTTCATGGCTAGCAGTAAAACCACTGATGGTTATCCATAAGCGAAATAAAATAAAGCTCAAAAAGGTAAATGATTATGAACATTTCGATACTAACTGAATACCACCTCAGTAATACGTTGACAACAGACTATGAGTGCTGGATTTTTTCAAAAGATACTTAAATTTATTGTTTGATGAATAATTTCCCTTCAGATATCACCATACGTAATACTTAAATGATCATTTAAATTGAAAATCATACTGTCATTAATTCACGTTACACACGCTTATTGAGAAGCATGATGACGATATATTTCTCATGCTTCGTGAATTTTAGTTGTTGTTCACACATAAAACCAAATGATGAGCATTGAAACTAAACTAGTTGATCAATCGATAGCGAAATGCCTGACGGCAGAAGGTGAAGAAGATCAAAGAAAAGACAACGGGAACGGAGAATGATTGGTGTGAAAACGAACGAACAATGAATTCCGAGACGATTGATTGACATTTTGCAAGTGACTGTATGGACCTCAGATTTTACTAAAATGTTCTGTAATTTTATATTCAAATACATTCGATTGTCCCCACTTGAGTTCTCGTTCATTACAACTCTATAAGAAGATATTTAGTGGACAGTTAGCAGTTTGTTGAATACCTAAGTAGTCAATTGTCTTGTTCTGTAGAGGAGAGAATAGTTGACGACAGGTTGTTATCAAGTTTTGACGGTCACGAATAGCTGCATACAAATACTGAACATAATAAAAGAATAAGATTTGCCTACAAAGATGGTAGTTATTTATCATATATACTGATTATTTAGTATTCTTTATTTGAATCTTCCCATTGATGTGGTAGGACTGCAAATGGTCAGTCTCCAATATGCATTTGTGCATACTGTGCGTATTGCCTCAATATAGCCTTAATTAACAAGCATGGTAAGCAAAGATGGCCATCAGGACTCAGTAGCTTAGTGGATAACGCGATGGCGTTTGAAGCGAGGGTACTGGGTTCGAGTTCCAGAGTGAACATCAACTCTCAGATGCAGGCACATCCAGCTGACGAATCCCGAATAGGGCGAAACGCGCGTTCTGGATTCCACTGCTAGACACTATCCATCTCTGCATATCCTGATTATGTTTGTTATTCTGTAGAATTCGGTTTTGTCAGAACAAATTCTTTAATATTTTCCATAGAACTGAATTAAATTTGGTTTGTTTCTGGTACTGAATTCAAACAGCTGTGTTTCTACCAGTCTGTCACACATTTTGTCAATTTATTCTTATACGAATATTTACAGATGACATCTAGCTTTTGATCATAGTTTGAAGGTGTGATAACTCTTTACAATCGGAGTGTTTTCTGATGTTCTTGTGGCCATTTGAATGCTTAATTCAATAAAATAAAAATAGTTTCATTGTCTAAGTAACCATTAGATTAAACATCAAACGGTTTACCACATCCAATAAAACAGTGTTTTGTAAATGGAATCATATGAATAATGTGTAAAGGTCATATTTACACCGTTCATAATTCGTATCAAAACCTTCTCCTTCCACTTGGAAACACAGGACTAATCAAAATGTATCTTCAACATTGATGTATTACAAATCGTCTTCTAATAACATGCATGAACAATGAATCCTCTATCTATCCTCCTCTGAATAGCTCTATCTCAACTATCCGCTCATATAGCATTATTAAGTAGTTTTATTTTGTAAGTGTAAAAATCATTTAGGCTCTCGATTCTTTATAAAAAATGCACATTCATCAGTAAAGACCGACGTTAATCCTGTAATTACAATTTTATTCATTGTATACACTTACCCACTGTAGTTTGGTGTAAGTTGGAAGCATGTTTAATTTGTAGGTTCGTATCTTTCTAACTAAGAAAATATCAAACAAAATTACTTGGCTCATCAATTGAAATATACCATACAATGATAATATGCATACACGTCAATAGTTATTGTTCATACTTCGTCACAAGGTGGATGAATTTAGATCATGTATTTCCTGAATATCAATGTTGAAATGTATGTACAGGTGGAAAGAACACAACTCCGTGTCCTTCAAAGTTGTTGAGATGTGGAACGACATTATTTGCTTCTACCCGTATAGTAGTAAGTCGTTATTGTTATCACGAAAATGTTATCATTAAACTCTAAGCAGTCTAGTTAAGATTAGAATATGAACATCAACATTCTTACCATAATCAACTCATTGTCTTCTCGTGGCGAGGTTGTTGTTAACGAAATTGAGAGAAGGAAAAGCGAATGTGCGGCGTTTTAACCGGGTTGCTGGAAAAGGAAAGTTCAACTAGGGGAGTTACAAAAACCCTCATTCCAAAGCAATGGTGCACATGGACACCAAAACAACATTTCAAAACTAATAAGCATTGACATATCTACATTGAGTGTCAAGTAATACAACCGAAAAACGTATTATTCATTACACCGTACATGTAGACTCTGTACATAATTGCACCGATATTACTGAAAAATTCGCGATTTTCACACTACTCCTTATCAAATGATAAAACAACACAAATACTTAGTTACGAGTATTTTTGTAGTGAATGCAACTGATCTTGACAGATATAGATAGTATCTAGCTCCAGTCGAAAATGGAATGCCTGACAGCGAAAAATTGCAATAAAGAAAGCAAGAAGGCAATCTGAAAGCATTCAAAATAACAACAGAATTAGTGGAATAACGGCAATCTATAATCACATTTCGAATAACAAATTGGTTCTCTCTATCAAATCTTCATTCCCTAAATCTTTGAGTTTCTTTTCGTTATGCATAATGTATTGTCAAAAATGAAGCATCTCTTCTTAAGAGAATAAATTATAAATAGTAAAAATTATGATACATGTGATTTATCATATCTTCATAACAGCGAATCTCGTATTCTAATGTACAAAGTCTGTGTTCGACCACTCCTCGAATACTGCGCGTTTCTACTTAGTAGCACGCGCATAAAGGATAAATTAAGACTGGAATCAGTACAGAGACGATTTACATTCCGTACTCTTGGAACTGATAGTTTCTTGACATATAATTCCAGGTGCAGTAAACTAGGGCTTGACCCTTTATGGATGACGAGACTCAAACTTAACCTTATCTTCTTTTTCAAAATACTTAACAAACTCTCATTCACATCCAGTCAGGCTATTCAATATGCTAAAGCCCCACATTAAGACATTCGTAACTCCTTGTCTTTAGCATAACAAACATATTCTAGATCTTCTCTCTCTATAAATTACTTTACCTGTAAGTTTTCTAATCTATGAAATAATTTACCTCAAGCTATCCGTATGTTAAACTCTCTCCCATTGTTTGTTCGCTAAATTAATGCTTTTTGCTCCTCTGAAAATGCATTAAATGTTCTAGCGCCTGCAAGTGTATCTTACTCCACAAGTAAGATTATTGGAACTGTAAGTGTTTAACCTCTTACTTCCTATCATTGTTTTGCTGTTCCGTGCTCTTTACTTTGATCTTACTTTCTCTAGTTGTGGATAATTAATAATAACTCGCTCTGGCACTAGAAATAACCTTACAGAATAATGTTGATCAATCATCAGGCTATTCACTTAATAAAAAAATGACAAGTTCCCTGGTGTTGCATTGGCTTGCCGTGACATATACCATATTTAAACTATTTATCAATTACTAAAGTAGCAAACATAAAACTTTCTTATATTTCATGTTTGTTCTCTACATTAAATGTTGATTTTTATAACAATCTGATCATGCCTGTAAACTGGTGTGAATTCTGTAAATATTATTTTCAGAATATATATTATTATTATTGTCACTAAAATCAATTTGACTCCATTATTGACAGGCAGAAATTAAATACGTCAGTGATTTACACTAAAAATATTCGATTTCATGTAGACTATGTATAAATGATGTCATTATTATGTGAGGTGGTAAATGATGGTT